AGAAAGAAAGAAAGAAAGAAAGAAAGAAAGAAAGAAAGAAAGAAAGAAAGAAAGAAAGAAAGAAAGAAAGAAAGAAAGAAAGAAAGAAAGAAAGAGCCAGCAGGCAGGGGGAGGGTACCATAACATCCGATGATCAAAGAAAGCGAAAGCAGCATGCAGTGCAGAGGGGAATTTCTGTTCCATTGTGTGGATTTGGTAAAACAAGGGAGGGAAAAGCCAATGCAGAATCACCTTGTACGACTCCCTCCCAATCGACACAGGGAAGCCGAGAAACCTGCCATAGCGCATCGACTCTGGCAGGAAGTCTCTGGTTCTTATGCAGTATTTCAAAGTAAACACAGCCTCTGATCTTCAGCTTCACTGCATCTGATGCCATTTACCGAATATATCCAAAGGCTGAACTGGGTCAGGAATTCTCATTTCTGAAATCTCACCCTTCTCTAAACCACACCCCAGACTGTACTTATTAAAACAGGATTAGACCAATTCATGAAGGAGAGTTCTGTTCACGGATTCTGGCTCACCAACAGCTAAATGGAACCTCCGTGTTCATCTGAAGTTTACCGAAGAAGAAGAAGAAGAAGAAGAAGAAGAAGAAGAAGAAGAAGAAGAAGAAGAAGAAGAATTTTTATTTATTTATTTATTATTTCTATTTATATTCCGCCTTGCCGGACACGCTGGCTCAAGGCGGCTAACTGTTAAAATAACGTAAACAATACAGAGATAAAACAGTTAAAAATACAAGACAGGTTAAAACAGCAACAGTTACAGATAAAAACCAACAGATAATGGCGATAATCCAAATCACACTTAATGATCGGAGTAGCATCCAGCAAGGTCTCAGGCCAGAAGATGTTCTAAGGCCCCGGTCACACGGGCCGGATATCGCGGGGGGGAGGTGTGGCTGTTTGCCCCAGAGCGAACTACCGCGCGGCCGCCAGATCAAATGTCCCGCCGACATCCCATGGTTCGGGGGGAGGTGCCAATCATACGTAAATCCTGCGGTGCGGCAAAGAAGCGGCACGGCGGGAGTTGTGTGTGTTTTTTTAACCGAAGTGTGCGCATGCGCCATTGGGTGCTTGTGCGCATCCCGTGGAGACTTGAAGGGAAAAAAACCTTTTCGCGGCGGGACATGGGTGGGCGCTGGATGCCATGAGCTACCACCGAAAACGTGATCAGACGCCTGCCCTTGCCCCACGGTTTTCGGAAACTAGTACCTCGGAGGTACTAGTTGTTTACAGCGCATCTTCGGCGAGAACCCTCGGGTTCGCCATGGGAGCTCTATGCTTCCCAGATGTTGCGGTTTGATCGCGCCCGGAAAATCCGCCTATCTTCCGTCTCTGTAACGTGGCTAATGCTCCGTGTGACCGCAGCCTAAGTTTCAAGTTCAAGAAGAAGTTCTAAGTTTCAAGCCAAAAGAAGAAGAGGAGGAGGAGGAGATTGGATTTATACCCCGCCCTTCACTCGGAGTCTCGGAGCGGCTTACAAACTCCTTTCCCTCCCCCTCCCCACAACAGACACCCTGTGAGGTAGGTGGGGCTGAGAGAGCTCTGACAGAAACTGCTCTTTTTCAAGGACAGCTCTTATCAGAACTATGGCTTGCCCAAAGTCATCCAGCCAGGTGCAAGTGGAGAACTGGGGAATCATACCTGGTTCTCCCAGATTAGAGTCTGCATACTTAACCACTACACCAGACTAGCTCTCAAGAGTTCCTGTCTTCATAACCTACCTGTGGGCTTCCTAGAAACATCTGACTGGAAAATAGGATGCTGGACTAGTAAACTGTATTCAAGTCCAGTAGCATCTAAGAGACCAACAAGATTTTCAGGATATGAGCTTTCATTTTGAGAGCCAAAGTGGAGAAGTGAGCAGTGACTCACAAAAGCTCCTCCCCTGCCACAAATTTTGTTAGTCATTCTGGTGCTACTGGACTCTTGCTCTTTTCTAAAGCTCCCTTTGTCTGGTATCAGATAGACAGAGAGCCAGTCTGGTGTAGTGGTTAGAAGCGCGGACCCTAATCTGGGAGAACTGGGTTTGATTCCCCACTCCTCCGTGTGCAGTCGCTGGTGTGACCTTGGGTCAGTCACAAGTTATCTCAGAGCTGTTCTCTCAGGAGCAGTCCTTGAAAGAGCTCTCTCAGCCCCAGCTACTTCACAGGGTGTCTGTTGTGGAGAGGGGGAGGGAAAGGAGATTTTAAGCCATTTTGAGACTCCTTTGGGTACCGAATGGCGGAGTATAAATCCAATCTCTTCTTCTCTTCTTTGACTCTTGTATAGTGGTTAGTGTGAGAGACTAGGAGACCCAGGTTAAAAGCCCCCCCCAAGCCCGCCATGAAGCTACTTGCGTGAACTTCGACCCATCACTCTCACTGAGACTGACCTACCAGACAGGCTTGTTGTGAAGATAAAATGGGCCAGTTCGAACCATGTACAGTGCTTCCTTTTACTCGCTCTAAAACGGCGCCCTTTAGCAAGAGAGGCAAATGTAATGCGGATGAGCCTTTTGGCTAATGCATGTTTTACATTTGCATTCCATTTGCTTTCATCCTCTCTGGCTTTATTGAGCATATACCCCCTACACAGTTGCAGCCACCACATGTTACGCCAACGCAAATCACTCAGCCTGCCAGCCGTCATGAAAGATTAATCTCCACGAACAAAAAGAATCCATTAGGGGAGCCTGAATAAGTAAAGGAGCGGAAGGGATAAGAACGTTAGTCGTCAAAGCAACCCAAGGCCGTATTTCAAATTTGGTCACAGTGCACCGC